CAGACAGACAGACAGAGAGAGAGAGTGAGAGAGAAACAAAGAAAAAGAGAGAGGGGATGGGCCTAGATCCTACACGCAGGATTTGGGATCTAGGATTTCCGCGCCCAACTCGAGACCCTGATCAGCAAAGGTGGGCTCACTCGTTGCAACTGTGGGTGTTGTCGTGGCTTCCTGAATCCGTGGCCATCTACCTGGTCGACTGGCAGCACCAGGATATCCGAAAGAGAGGCATCAAGAAGGAGAAGGAAAAGTCCGAGCAGGCTAAGAAGGGGCAGTAGACGTGTACAAGTCAGCCACAAAGTCGACAATGCCAGCTTCCGCACCGCGGTGAACCAACCAATAATGCCGCAGTCGATACTTCGCTTGTCGCTGCGCAAGAAAAGCGGAGTGCGACAGGCAGATTGCAACTTTGTGCCGCGGCAGATTTAGAATTTGGGGTCCAACATTTGCATTTACAGTCTCATGAGCTGCGATGGTAGGCATGTGCTTGAAACATTGATCTGCCCCGTACAAGCAGCTAAACCACCAAGACCGCCAAGTGGTGAATTTCCTGCATGCACTAGGCCTTTTGAGAAGTGCTGTCCAGGCCTCGACGGTCGGCCCTGTGCCTGGAGCTGAGACTGCCTTGAAGAGAGTTCATAGGGCCCCTTCTTCGGCATGCTTGTGGTACGTACCGTCCTATTTTGGTCCAGGGTTGTTCCTTGCTTCCGGAGGCTTTGGCCCAGCAGCTTCCCTGAAGTTCTGAAGGGGACTCAGTGGAGCAGCTTTGTCTCGGCTTTGATTCCCAGTCCCATGGACTAGACTATGGTTTCATTTGCGTAGAGTGGTTCAGCCGATTAAAGCTGGTGGGCAGCAAAAACTTTGATTCCGGTGCACGAGTCCCAGGCATGGCGAATCGAAAGTAATACGTTCACGGCAGAAAATCAGGCTTTGCTGGCTACTTCAAAGCTCCATAAGACTTGCATGACCCTCAAGCCCAGATGTAAAACGGATGTTGGGGCGGATGTTGGAAAATGGATGTTGGGTTCCGGCCCCCGGAAAATTGGATGTGGAAAATGGATGTTCGGTTACGGCCCCCTGCAAAAATGGATGTCGGGATTGACGCCTCCCCGCAAAATGGATGTGAAACGGATGTTGGGATTCACCCCTCCCTGCAACATGGCTACGACATGGCTGTGGGCTTCGTGCTCCCCATGCGAAACTGTGAGCTGCGCGCACCTTCCCCTACCCCCGTCCCTCCCCTCCCTCCCGACTAGCCGTTGAGCCTGACCATGATATACATGGATATCTTATTCAAAACCTGAAAAAGCGTGTCTTGCAGGCTGTCGTTTTGGTCTCCCAAGACATTTTCCGGAACCGATTTGGTGGAGCCTAATTAGAAGCCTAAGTCTTGCACCGACAGGCGCCGAACGAAAAGAGCACCGTGACAACATTCAGTTCACAGTCCATTTCCAGATCAGAGTGTTAATGGCTGTTCGTTTAAGTTTCATTTCCAACATCCATTTTTTACTCCCAACATCCATTTCCCCTCTCTGGGCTTTGCCGAGAATGGATATCATAATCGTTGTGTGTGTGTGCATATATATATATATAATAAATATGAATATATGCATATATATATATACATACATACATACATACATACATACATACATACATACATACATACATATATATATATCACTAGGTAGATAGATAGATAGATAGATAGATACATAGATATGAGCTAATATACACATATGCACATGCATGTGTTGTGTGATGGTTTGTGTGGTATTCGTTCTCAGAAGCCTCATTACTCCAGTCGTGCCTCTGAGTCGTCGTCGCTAAGCCGTTCGCGTTTGTTGTTCCGTCATAGCTGCCAGCAGGTACTACTACGTTTCCAATCGCAGTGCTGCTGTTTATGAGCTTATGAGTCTGAGGTAGTGCACTGATGACTCAGACGGTGGTCTTACGTTCAATCACAGTACTGTTTGCAAAGTGTTGCGTGCTTGTTTATTCCTCTTGGGACGTTCACGCAGTATACCAGGCATCCAAAGACGAACCAATGCAAGGTCAGGGGCCAGCTGCTGTGCTCGAGACCGGGTGCCTGAGCTGCCCGACGGCCGGCACGCGTCCATGCGCTGCCAAAGAGCGCTGCACTCCGTGCACGTGAATGCACTGCATCAAACTGAAGGCTTTCAGCGTTGCTTGTGAGCCCCTCGTCCCAGACGGCACAATCTGATTCTTTTCCACGAAGCACGTTCGACTGGACGGGAATAGACCGCAAGCCTTTGCACAGCTGAGCTTGTGAATGTGCTGGTAGCAGGCTTTTCGAAGCTGCACCACGAGCAGAGAGGCTTACTGCCGTTGGAGGTGTGCTTGGTGCAGGGACAAAGGCCCATAGCCATAGCCACCGAACTCATAGAACCACACTTCTCTGATATGTGCAGATCCGGATTTGCCAATTCTGTTACCTGTTTCCACGGGGCAGCAGCCCTTGACGAAGCATGTTTGATTAGGCCGGAGCTTGATCCGTTGACGCAGAATTCGTTTGGCTGCGAAGTGCTGCATCAGATCCAGCAGATGCTGGCGGTCTGTACAGCGCGCTGAGCACAGAATTCTGACCGGCATGTCGTGATTTTCTTCTCTCGGTCATCCTATGGGCTGGAGAAGGAGACCATTGCCATGCACCACCAAGCACAACGCAATCATGCTTTGGAAAGCCTCTTATGGATTTGGCTTCGGCTAGCATACCCTACAAGTCCGATGTTCTTTGCCCAGCGTACGGATTGCAACATCCATCCCGAGTTGACCTGGCAAATCAAGGGCAGCTACCCGAACCGACTGCATGCCGCCATGGGCTTGGTCGCTCCTTTGTTGCTCTCATCGATGGCGCTTGCTCACAAACCTTCTTGCCGGGACCTCGACCGCGACCTGCATTAAAAGTAGTCGTTGTACTCATATAGCCTCATGGTTTCGAGTTCTGTATCCGAGCAGTGCAGCTTTAGTTTCTGGGAAGGGTAAACTGCAAAGATTTCTGGAGCCTTTGCACCGTGAGACGACCGCTGAATGGGCTTTAGGAGGCTGGGGAGGTGCCGAGTGCGGCGAGCAGCGTAGCACCTCTACGGTTCATTCTCCAGGCGTGTAGTGGGAACAGTAGAGTAGTGAACTGAACCGGGTCGAAGGGGCCGAAGAACCGTAAACGAGGTGGCCTGCATCTGTGTTTTTCGAGGGATTCTGCAATGGTGGCCGTAGATGGTGCATCATCGCTACTCCATGTTACGGTGAAGCACACCCCGGACAAGGTCCTTCTCTCCGTTGGACTTAATCCATGGCATGTAGTTATTGTAGCGTGATGCCAACAAGACAAGCTGCCGCAGCCCAGGTCAAAATCCGCTGTTTGCAGTCCACTGGGTGCGCGCAGCACGTGTGTGATGATGAGCATGATCTGGGCCAGCCCACTTCCCACATTAGCCCGCAGGGTGGGTCAGCCCCGACATGCTCGCTCACTAATCATATACCATGAGTCCGAGACTCTATTCCAAAAATCCTGACTCAGCCAACCCTTTGTCACGCAGAGCATCGCAGAATTACAGCGCTCAAAGATGTATCATGTACCCTTCATAGTGTCTGACCGACAGGCTCCCAAGATCGACATCCAGACTCTGAATCCGTACCCATCGGTGCCTTGGGTGAGCAGGTTGGGGCGAGACTACGTAGAGTGCGGCCCAAGTGGCCTTTTCGGTTCCTTCATATCCTCGTATGCAACTGGTTGGAAGCCGATGATGCCGTTGTTGCCATTTCTCCCAAAAAACACGCGGCTGTAGCGGCAAAGGGTTCGTGTGAAGGCCTCAGTCCTCAGATATGTGCAGGACCTCTTAGAGGGTTGTTGGTGCCGTCACAGTTCGTTTGTCACTTTTTTTTGAATGTAGTATGTTAACATCGAAACGGAACTGCAACATATGATATATCCCATGTTTCACTGCTCGTCCCATTTCCGGTCTTATCCATCGTCGTGAGCACGCTCTGGCTTTCTTGCAAATAATGAATTCGCTACGATTGTAGCGAGTCCGTATTGCTATTGTTGGTCTTATCGGCACTTGTGACAGCAAAGGTCAAGGAGAACTTGAAGCTCTGTCCGGCTTACAACGAGAAGGCCCCCCTATCGGGGCAGATCGATTTGGACCTCCACGCACACGTCTACAGCTAGAGTGAAGCAGGATAATGTATGCAAATATGTTTACAACGGGATGAACACATTTACAGGCACGTGTAGCAGTATGGTTATGACTTTTTGAGAAACTACGTGTGTATGTGTACATGTACATGTGTGTGTATATACATATATATATATGTATCTAACATGTGTGTGTATATATATATGTATGTATGTATGTATGTATGTATGTATGTATGTATGTATGTATACACATATACATATATACAAAGAAAGATAGATGTGTGTGTGAGAGAGAGTGTGCGCGCGGGTGTGTTTGTGCATGCATGCAAAATAAACAAGAAACTACTTGACTCAATACATGCATGCGTGCATCTGCCTATAGGCTCCTTACATGCATGCATGCAATTACATACATACCTACGTATGTACATGCAAACACAAACACACACACACACAGACAGAGACCGTGCTGAAGTCGATAAAGAGCCGCCTTCGATTGGCGAATATGAGAAAAGCTAGCCAAGAGCTCTTCAAAGGACGGACTTAATGACAGAGAAGCAAACGATTCAAGCAAGCTTGCCCAAGTGGGACTGTGGAGATCGAAACCGAAGGGGCAGACCGAGATGGCTCAAAAGTGTTCTGATAATCCAAGAAAGAGGAGCAAATTTTTCGAAAGAGACTAGAGGGTGTCAGACAAATGTGCAGACCACACGCAAGGGCTAGCGAAGCCGAACCAGATGAGCAGAGCACTCGAACGGGAATAGAGAACGTGCGAAAGCAGAGCATACTTTTCAATGGACAGGAAGAGCTTGCGTGTCGGAGAGACTCGAGAGTGTAACCGAGAGAGGAGCGGACCGCTCGAAACGTACTAGACACCCCTGAGCATGAGTAGCCCGAAACGGCGAAGGGGACAGATATTTGAGAAAGGGGTGCAGACCGCTCTCTGGGAATAGAGGCCTCGAGCAGTATACGTTTCAGGGTTGTAGGGAGTACGAGTACATACTTTCAAAGCCACCAGTGACTTTGACAAAGAGGAGCAAATGGCTCGAAAGTGCATCGCGGCTTTGAGACATCGTAAACCGCTTCCGTGAGAGTTTTTGTAAGAGAAGGAGGAACACCGCTCGGAAAGGAGCAGATATCTTGAAAAAGCAGAGGGTCAGATCTCTAGAATTTGGGAGACAGCCGCTCGACATGCACCGGAGTATTTGGGAAAATCGAAGTAAATCACTCTAAAACAACAACGTGTTGGGGGAGAAACGAGCAGGCCACCGAACTTTCGAAACAGAAGTAAAACACTCGCAAGGGATTGAATAGGTGCGAGGAAGAACAATCGCAGCTCGAACGGGACCGGAGAAATTTGGAAAGAGTTATGCGCCGCTCGAAAGTGAATAGATATTTTTGGAAAGAGTAGTGCACCACCCGAAAGCGAGAGAAATCACTCGAAAGGGATTGGAGAAGTTGAGAAGGAGGAGCCTACAGTGTCAGAAAGCCTATTGCTCTTCAGAGAAACAGACAAAGCGCTCAGAAGGGACCACTACACAATTCGGTATTTTGCAAACACAAGAGCAAGCCGGTTCGAAAGGGACCAATTGGTTCGAGACAGGTGCATGCCGGTTGAAAAGGATTCAAAAACTTGTGAAAGCGAGCGAAAACGGAGGAAACCGGTCCAATTAAATAGATAGACCATTCGGCAAAGAAGAGCGAGCCATTCGATAATGCATGGTGAGGAAACTTAACAAGGATCGGATAATTTGGAAGAAGAGGAGGCGCAAAGTGGTTTCAAAAGAGGGAGCAAAGCACTTGCGAAGGGACGAGGGAATTGATAAGGAGGATCAAAAAGCTCCAAAAAGACTAGACTAGAGACTAGAGCGCCGAGCAAGCTATTGGAAATTTGGCTCGAAAGAACGAACTCGAGAACGAGGAGCCATCGAGAGGGCCCTGTTATGTAATTTAACCTAGTCATAAACGGCTTTCACGGAACCACGTAGAAGCCATTCATGCATTGATATCTGTGGAGGGGGGAGCATTGTAAAAGTACTGCAATTCGTGCGTGCTGTGCAATTGACTCTTGGTGAGGTGCAGCGGGAGTGGGTTGGGCCGTTCCGACTTCTTGGATACGAGTGTTCTTTTAATTTTCTGGTCGTGGCCGGCAAGGGGGTTGGCTGAGCCCGAACCCATCCTAGTGCACGGTTCTGCATGCAGCTGAAATTGAGGCGGGACTGGCAAGTCCGTGGCGTTCATGAACTCCATCCGCTGTTGGGGATATTGCAGGAATGTCAAGAGCATGGACGTGTTCAACCTAAGACCCAAGCTGCTTCTTGAGAGAGCAAACTTTCTCCTCGTCGTTTGGCAGTCTTCGTGCTGCCACGAGACCTTCGAGACCGAGCAGCTGAAGTTCTACAATGTCTGGGACTCCCGCACCCCTGCTGTTTAGAAGTCGAAGCACCACATGTTGCTTCCTGTTTCAGCAACCTTCCGACGGCATTCCAATGTTGTGCATTGCGGGACTTAGCCTGACTTATCAACCATCTTGCAGGAAAGCTTCTTTCAAGAGAAGCTGCTTCGGATGGATGACCACCGGCAGGAAAGTGCTGAAAGGGTTCTTGGTTGGGACGGATGCCACGAAGAATGGAGTGTCCAGATTTGGAAGCTTCAAATCCAACACACCGTGGACTCACACTCATCTTTGTGTCGCCTGTTTCAGGCAGTGCAGCGAGCTGCCAGCTACCTCACCCCGGATCGTGACTCCCATCATGTCGATCGTGCGCAGTAGGCACCTCAGATTTGTTCGTCGCTTCCTCGTAGCCGTTCCTTCGTGGATGTCGTTGCACGCATGCTTTAAATCTTTTTTTTTTGTGTGTGTGTTGATTGTGTCTCTCGCTGTGTGTGTGTGTGTGTGTCTCTGTGTGTGTGTGTGGTGTGTGCGTGCATGTGTGTGTGTGTTGTGTGTGTGTATGTGTGTTGTGTGTGGGTGTGTGTGGGTGTGTGCGCGCGGGTGTGTGTGTGTGTGTGTCTGTGTCTCTGCGCGTGTGTGGGTGGGTGGGCAAAGTGCTGGTACCTGCAACCACAAGTACCTTGCCTGGCCCTGGTGGTGCGCGGTGCCGGTAGCAGGGCCCTGGTACCAGCCAGTGCTTTTTACCAGCCTTGCCTGCTACCAGGGCTGGTGCCAGGCAGGGGTGAGGTCCGCTTGTTTAAAATGGGCTTGGCGGCCCGGGCCGGGAGCCAACGAAGGTAGTATAAGATATTGGTTCAAATGTATTGGCAGGCCCCAGCAACTCGTCCCTCTGGACCTCCTGTGCCGACGTCAGCAACTGTGCCGATCACTGCGCTATGTTCTCCTCAACCTCTCAGTGGCCCGGCCCGTCATTGCCGACTCTGCCGGCCTTCATCCCGAGGTTGTAGTTGTAGTTGTAGTGCTGCTGCTGCTGCTGCTGCCGCTGGTGCTGATGCTGATGCCGTTGCTGTTGCCGTTGCCGTTGCGGTTGCGGTTGCTGTTGCTGTTGCTGTTGGTGTTGTTGTTGTTGTTTGTGGTGGTGGTGGTGGTGGTGTTGGTGTTGCTGTTGGTGTTGGTGTTGGTGTTGTTGTTGTTGCTGCTGCTGCTGGTGTTGCTGTTGTTTGATGATGTTAATGTTGTTGTTGTTGTTGGTGGTGGTGGTGGTGTTGTTGTTGGTGGTGGTGGTGCTGCTGCTACTACTGCTGTTGCTGTTGTTGTTGTTGTTGTTGGTGGTGGTGGTGGTGGTGGTGGTGGCGGTGGTGTTGGTGTTGGTGTTGGTGTTGGTGTTGGTGTTGGTGTTGGTGTTGTTGTTGCTGCTGCTGCTGCTGCTGCTGGTGGTGGTGGTGGTGGTGGTGGTGGTGTTGGTGTTGGTGCTGGTGCTGGTGCTGGCGCTGGTGCTGGTGCTGGCGTTGGTGTTGGCGTTGGTGTTAGCGTTGTTGCCGTTGTTGTTGTTGTTGTCGTTGTTGTTGGTGTTGGTGCTGGTGCTGGTGCTGGCGCTGGTGCTGGTGCTGGTGCTGGCGTTGGTGTTGGCGTTGGTGTTAGCGTTGTTGCTGTTGTTGTTGTTGTTGTTGGTGGTGGTGGTGGTGGTGGTGGTCTCGTTGTTGTTCTGGTTGTTGTTGTTGGTTTTGGTATTGTTACTGTTCTTGTTATTGTTATTGTTATTGTTGTCGTTATTATTCGTGTTCTTGTAGTTGTGCTTGTTGTTGTTGTTGTTGTTGCAGCTGCTGCTGCTGCTGCTGCTGTTGTTTGTTTGCTGTTGATGTTGTTGTTGGTGCTGCTACTACTGCTGCTGCTGCTGTTTTTGTTGTTGTTCATGTTGATGATGGCATTGTTATTGCTATGATTTGTGTGTCTGTTGTTATTGTTTATTATTATTACTATTATTGTTATTGTTTGCGTTGTCGTTGTTGCTGTTGTTGTTGTTGCTGTTGTTGTTGTTGTCGTTGCTGTTGGCGTTGGCGTTGTCGTCAGCGTTGGTGTTGGTGTTGGCATTGGTGTTGGTGTGGGTGTTGTTGTGTGGGTGTTGGTGTTGGTGCTGTTTTCGATGTTGTTGTTGTTGTTGTTCTTCTTGTTGTTGTTGTTGTTGTTGGTGCAGTGGGGGTTGTGGTGGTGGTGGTGGTGGTAGGGTGCTGTTGCTGTTGCTCTTGCTCTTGCTGTTGCTGTTGCTGCAGCTGTTGCTGTTGGGTGTTGTGTCTCTGTGTGTGTGGGCGCATGTTTGTTTTGTGCCGGTGCGTGGATGGGTTAAGGGTTCTTTTATATATATATATATATATATATTATATAGACATATATATATATAACCAATAATAAAAATGATAGTAATACATGTATATATATATATGTATATATATATATATTGTTAGTACAGCTCCTCGGCCCACGAAGTTTTGTCTTCGTACTGGGACAGTCTCGTTGATCGTCATTGACGCGTGTCACGCATGTTACCCGGGGCACACGATTCAATCTTGAACCAAGTTGGGTC